TCAGGTTGCCATGCAAATATTGCCTGCTGTAGAGACCTTCTATACTGTCATGTCACCTAACAATAGGGATATGTTCTGATAAATGTGTCATGTGATGATTCATCATTTTGAAAACATCTAGTAACTAAATAAATATAGATGATGGAGCCTCCCATGCACCCACGCTATGTGGTATAGTCTATTGGTGAAATGGTGATGGCTGTGGTGGTCTTTTCCTGTTTTTACTTATCTTGCAAGAATAGCAAGGTGGGCTTTCAAGAGTGAAACCTACCCATTTTATTTTTTTTTAAGATTTATTTATTTATGCATACAAGAGCTGGGGTACAGGCCAGAGATGTGGGGGGTGAGAGGATTCAACAGAGACAGAGTGGGGAACAGAACAGGCAGATTGACCAAAGTATTCTGCTGAGAAGAGCAGCGGGCGAGTCAGGAGATCTGCTGCACCATGTGGGTTGCTCCCTGGCTGGCTGGGGATCAAACTCGTGCTGCAGAGGCTGTGGATTGCTTCATAGTATGGTGCTTAACCCCTTGCACCACCAGGGAGGCCCCCAAAACCCACCCATTTTAAAGGTGAAAAAAATCAGATTTTTTCTTAAGTTGACAGTTGTGTTTCAGTGCACAAGCCCAGAAGAGTATATAACTTCTTATTGCCAAATAGAAAAATAGTACCAGAAAAAGCATGGCTCATGGTTACAGGGTAATATCAGTAGTAAGGGGTGCTCTGTTTTGTTGTAGTTCTGGACCCAAATTTGAGTTACACCATAGTTCAGCAGAAAACTACCAATCAGACTCTGCCAACTCACATGTTTAAAAATATACTTTCGGGCCTCCCCGGTGGCGCAGCGGTTGAGCGCTGGGTTGCGAAGCTGCGTGCGGCCTCTGCGGCGCCGGTTCGATCCCCGGCTGCTCCCCGGCCGCCGGAGGAGGGTCCCACATGGCGCGCGGACCTCTCCTGCCGCCCGCTGCTCCCCTCAGCAGTGTACTTTGGTCCTTCTGCCTGCTCTGCTCCCCGCTCTGGCTCTGGTGGATTCTCTCGCCCTCCCGCGCTTCTGACTGTGCCCAGTGCATGTATAAACAAAACAAACAAAGAAACCAGCAAACAAATAAATAAAGCATGCCTCTATAAAAAAAAAAAAATAAAAATATACTTTCTTTGTTCCTCAGCCCCACAAATACTGCCCAAAGTCCCATCCTTAGGAATACTCATTTGAGCCTTGCCTCCAGTGACTCTACATTAAATCCATTCTTTTCTCAAAAAGCTGGTAGCGTGGGTTTTGGCTTCTGCTTCTGGGTAGCGGGTCCATATTTGGCAATATTGGGGCCACCACTGATCTGTCACTCACTGAACCATCAGTGATGCATGACTGTATACATAGCAGTTAGATGTCAGTTGTCATCATCCATTGTAATTATTTCATTCTTACTCTGGACATTCCCTACGAGCCCGAAAAGCATCCAGGCCCTGGGATTTAAAACACTGTACTGACATTTGAAAACAATAGAATTTCCCATATTAGATTTCCCACTTTATAGATTTGGACACTAAGACAAAATAAAGGTGTAGTGATTTGTTACCTGGCTAAAAATGGAAAGGCCAGAAATTAATCCCTAGCCCCAGTGTGTTCTCTGAATCATCACAGTGTAGTTCAGCATCATGTCCTTTGCTTTTTGCCCCTGAGCATCTTAGGCCCAGTCTAAATGCTAAGGGTTAAAATGTGTCCCCCACTTCACCCTCCCAAATTCATTTATGGAAGCCTGTGATGTGATTAATAATAAAGAATTTTATATTTGGTCTTTGTCCAGTTTCTGGCATAGAGTTTCTAAAACCCTTGTAATTCCTAAGTGATGAGAATAAAGGAGTCTTTGTTAAGGAGGTAACTTTGGGTCCACACCTAAGAAAGTGTGGCTGGCTGCCAAGGAAACCAACCTAGTGATTTATAGGTGGGAACTTTCACTTCTACCCTCTGACCTATGCAGAGAAGAGAGGGGCTTGAGATTGAGTTCAGTCACTAAGGACCAGTGTTTCAGTCATGCCTACAACGTGTTCATTAAAAAAAAACCCTAAAAGACCTGGTTCAGAGAACTGCCAGTTTGGTAAATACATAGAGACTTGGGGAGAGTGGAGCACTAGGAGAGAACATAGAAGCTCTGCACCCTTTTCCCATACCTTGCCCCGTGCATCTCTTCCATCTGGCTCTTCCTGAATCATACACTTTTCACTTTTGTAATAAACCAGTGTAGTGGCAGGATGGGCACTGAGCAGGTTTCTGTGACCTGGCAGACCAGGTAAAGGAGGAGTCCTGGAGTCCTCAGTAGGTTTCTCAGGCTTTTATTGAGCTTTACATGCACTGCAGCAACCGGGTACAAGGCAGGCAGGAGGTCAGGGGGCCAGGAGGCAGACAGGCCTCCAAGCCCCAGGCAAGTCTTCACTCTGGGCTTCTCTGGCTTCTATCGCCCCTTCTCTCTCCTGCTTCTCTCCTGCTTCTCTTCTCTTGGTGACTATCTCTCAATACTCCTCCCATGGCCCATAGAAGTAAATAAGATAGCTTGCAACAATGTAACAACTGCAGGTGCCCCATCAGCAGGGCAATTCTAGTGGTGGGAAGGCAGAAAAGCCGGAAAAACCATTTACCCTACAACCAGTAATCTGGTGAGTAAAATATTTCTCTGAGTTCTGTGAGCCACTCTAGCAAATTAAACAATCCCAAGGATGGGGTCATGGGAACTTCCAATCTAGTGTTGGTTGGTTAGAAGCACAGGTGATAACAGGCACTTAGGGACTGATATCTGAAATTGTAACAGGTGGTCCCCAGGAAAAGGGGCAGTCCAGGTTCCCTGCCCCACCCAAAGGAGGGTGAAGCTGAGCAGGGAGGAGAAGGTGCTGGAGAGGAGACTGGAGAAGGAAGGAAGCAGATTGGGGAGCCAGGAGACCTGGAGGAGGTACATGGGGCAGAAAGACATTTGAAGAAACTGCCTTTGCCTTTTGGTGGTGGGCTTGTTGAGAGATTCATGGGTGAGAGACCTGTGGGAAGGATAGCAATGGCAGCATTTATCTTGGTCTTGATTTGCTCTTTTCCTCCCAGACTTGTCTGGCTGTTCTGATCCTTTTTTATGGGTCCCCACTGGAAAGTGCTTTAGACTTGTGGCAGGCTTTGGGGCCTTGCTCTGGGCCAATCCTGTTTGGCTGGACATTTACCCAGGAGGGGATGGGTAACTTCGGGTGCTTGATTTGGGAAAATATATATATATATTTATGAAACTATATATATTTTTAAGAGATTTATTTATTTATGCATATAAGAACTGGGGTGTAAGCCAGAGATCCAGGGAGAGAGTGAGAGTATTCACCAGAGAGAGTGGGGAGCAGAACAGGCAGATCTACTGAAATACACTGCTGAGGGCAAGACAGTGGGCAAGACAGGAGAGGTGGGCAAGAGCAGTGGGCAAGACAGGAGAGGTCTGCTATGCCATGGGATCACTTCCCTGGAAGCCAGTGGCTGCTGATAGCTTGATAGTGCTCTCTTTAACCCTTGCACGACCAGGGAGGCCCTGGGAACTATATTTTTTGTCTTTTCTGTATTGCACACTAATTGTATTAGCGTTCCTTTCCATTAAAGGTCTATATGTTTTGTCTTGATATGGTGGATGGCAGAACCTATTTAGAACTGGCAGGTTTGGGGGTTTTGAGGTATCCCTTTCCATGCCCTGTAACAAAATGAGGAGGATAGGAGGGCTGGGGGTATATTGGGTTAAGTCTTGTAACCCTTGCCGTGTGGCATCTGATGCTCGCTCCAGGTATAACTGAATTGCATGACACTCTGCTGGTGTTGGAGAATTGCTTGGTAGAAAAAGGACACATCAGAAGTTCCGAAGTGTTGGGGTACCATTTAATAAGGTTAAAGCGTAAGCCCCCACCCCTTGCCCAACAGGCAGGTTTGGGAGGCTTGAATACATAAGGGAATTGAGAAGTTTGCCTTGGAAACAAGATCGTAAGACCCACCACCATGACCAGAAAAACCAGCCCAGCTCCAGAAGTGTAGAAGCCAGCCCAGGACATGTTCCTGTGTCAAAGGTCAGCACCTGAGACCAGACATCCCAGCAGACAACTGGTGCCCCAAGTTAGAAAACAGAGCATAAAAGAGAGCTTCAAATCCTCCTTTGTGCACAGACCTCTCTATCTCTTCCCCTGCTCCTTTGCAGGATATTCCAATAAACAAACCTTTCCCATTCTTCACTCTGGTTTCTGGTGAATTCTTTCAGCCCTATGCTTCTGACCTCACCTTGACATTTTTCTACACTACAAGAAGTGGTGTCAGAATTGGAAAGCCCTGACCCTTAAAATGACTATTTGGAAATTAGGCCTTCAGGGGGCAATTAAAGTTCCGTGAGGTGATAGGGAAGGGCTCTCACGGTACCTGACTGATGACCTTATAGAAGAGGAAGTGAGACATCACTTCGCCTAGAGATACTGAAGAAAGATCACGTGAGCATACTTCCCTCAAGGCAGATGGTGTTTCCCACCATGCTAGCACCCTGATCTCGGACCTTTAGTCTCTAGATAGTGAGAAGTAAATGTCTGTTTTCTGGCCCTCCAGCCTGTGGTATCTTGCTAAGTTAGCTGGCGTGGACCAAAACACTGAGCCACTGGGTCAGGGAGTCATCAGGATGTCACTGGGAAGACCTTTTAAAATTCATCCTAAGGAGTTTGTAAAACTTCTGTGCTAAGGCATTGAGTTCAAGTGTAACTATGAGGTAGATTATTTGTATTGAGCGGAATCTTTTCTCAGGAGCGTGAAATAGGAAAGCAGTAGCCACAGCACTGGATCCAACCGGTTATTCCCCAAATGGCAGCTGAGTGCCATGGGGCGTGGAAATTGTGCTGGAGCACCTGGCACATGAGGAGACCTGTGTGCAGCATATAACCCATTCAGAGTCTGCCTGATTCATGACTCACCAGTGCTGCACCCCCCCTGCAGTGACCCTCAGGGCTAATGGCTGTTGCCATGGTCCCTGACGTCCCGCGTGGGCAAGGAACCATGCGCGCAGGGGGAGAACAGCAAACTCCCTAAGATGCAGAGAAACTGAATGCCTGCCAAGAAATAATGACCATCAAAAGCGGCCACAAAGATGATTAAAAGAAATGCTGACCACCTGGAACCTTATCTCGCTTTCTCAAGGCCCACAAACTTTATTCTGCTACAACTGTCTTTCTAAAATCTTTCCTTTTTCTGGTCATTGATTGCTAATTAAAAAACATACATAATTTAATAATTAGGCTAATGCAAATGAAACATTACTAAACACTGTGTTATAATAGAATTGTTAGTTTAATAATCTTTCTATTATGTGCTTAACTTTAGTACCTTTGATATTAACTGCATTATAAAATAAATTCACCCATGACAATTAATTATGAGTAAAAATGATAGTTAGTGCAACTAGAAAATAATTATATAAAACAGTAGAAGGAATTTATAGCCTGTCCAATTAGGAATGAGGCTAGGTCCAGATGTAACTTCGGACATAAATCACTGCCCTGTCAATTAAGCTAAGTCTATGAGCAAACTGAACTCTGATGTTCACTGTTCCTATGCTTTTAGAAAAACATATATATACTGACCACTAGCTTAATAAAGACGCACTCAGATTTTCACTCTCTTGAAGTGTGTCTGTGTGTCATTTATTCATCGAATCCCTGACCACCCTGCGCAATCTCTCAACCCTGAGACGGCCTCATCGTCCATCGCTGTGCTGGTCTGCGGCACACCAGTCCCCCAAATAAAAGGGACCCTCTCCCTGAAGCTCCTTCAGGTATTTTTTTGAACATGAGTTTGCCTTCTCCATTGCTTGTCAGGCAGTAAAGTTTTGGGTATGTTAAATAGAACCCGGCATCTTAAGGGGGTTGAGTAATATGAGCAACTCTGAGAATGGACATGGTGGTGGGTGCTATCAGTGGCCCTGTGACCTGTGGTTTGGTATACTACCAGGCATTCTTCCTGCTAGGGTCAGGCAGGAGATGTGATTTTTCTCTGGATACAGCGCTGTGGATGTGAGCCTGTTTTCACCCAGACTCTGCCTTATTTATCTGCACAGTTCCAGACCCAGGCTTCTCTCCCGGCTGGGCTGTTTCCCTGGTTGCCCCAGGTGATGCGATGCGTTCAGTGGGGATGGCTGAAAAAGACAGCGTGTGCAGTCCAGTCATGTGGCAATTAAGCTCTGAGGGAACATAGTCATTGGGGACTTCATACTTCAAGTGACTAGTGCATAGGACAATGGTGACTAGTGCATAAGGACTTCTGGTCAGTAGGAAACCTTGAGGGAGGCGATGCTGCAGCTCGGTGAGATCCCAAACCAACAGGTACACCCCGATGTCTTCCAGGGATGCATGGTCACCTTGGGATCGGCAGAGGCTCCCCTCCATGGGGTGGGAGTTAGGTGAGGGTGCTGGGAGGGGAAGATGTGGCAGGGTATAGTAGCGGATGGGAGGCTTAAGTCTCATGCCTCAGATTTGTCCATGCAGGACAGTCGGGGTGGAAGGAGGTGTGGGTGTCCTCAGGTCCAGAAGCCATGCTGTGAACATCCCTGTGCTAGATGCACTGTTTCACTCATAAAACAGCCTCCCAATTCTTTTTTGTAAACAGAAAAAGGTGAAATATGTGTAAGAACCAAATCCAGGGATCCCAAGCTTTGAAGTTAACCATTAAAAGAACCCAGGATCAGATAGTTTTCAATGATTTTTATTTAAAAAATCATCTGGTTGTTGATGGGACCAGTCTAAATATATATAATATGTATGTGTATATATATATGTATATATATATGTATGTATGTATGTATGTGTGTGTGTGTGTGTGTGTGTGTGTATATATATATATATTTAACTTTCAGATCAGGATTAGAATTGTTGGGAATATACTGAAGGCAGCAGCCCTGGGCTTTTAATTTCATCATCTCAGTTAAAATAGCTTGAGGGCCTCCCCGGTGGTGCAGCGGTTCAACGCTGGGTTGCGAAGCTGCCCGCAGCCTCTGCAGTGCCGGTTCGATCCCCGGCTGCTCCCTGGCCACCAGAGGAGGGTCCCACATGGCGTGCAGACCTCTCCTGCCGCCCGCTGCTCCCCTCAGCAGTGTACTTTGGTCCTTCCGCCTGTTCTGCTCCCCGCTCTGGCTCTGGTGACTTCTCTCACCCTCCCACGCTTCTGACTATACCCAATGCTTATATAAATAATAAGTAAATAAATAAATAATTTATTAAAAAAATAAAATAAAATAGCTTGAGCTGAGACCATGCTGTTAGTGTCCTGGTCCTCACATTCTCGAGGCTGTTCTTTCCCCTTGGGTGCCCCAAAGAAGGATGCTTTTCTCTCCTTCACACTTAAATTCAGTTTTACCCAGGCTAGCAGCCCACCCACTTCTACCTGCATCCTGCACTCAGCAGTCAGTGGGATGCTCTGATCCTGTGAGTTGGGACACCACTTTAAGTTGTCATTTGTGGCCCTGTTGCCCCATGCTGAGCGGCAAGGTGTACAGGGGCCTGTGTGAGCCCAGCAGCAGTGCCCATTGGCCACAAATACCCCATTTATATAAACATTTGCAATGTGAGGGTTGGGGTCTAGCAGCAGCTATTGTTGCAACCTTCCCAGCTTGTAAAATGGGTGGAGGTCAAGTTATACCCAGGCGTCTGGGCTCTTGGTCTGTACCACAGATTGGTACCTGGATGCCTCTAGGAATAGAGACTATTGGGATCTTTGGATATGGTGGAGGAAGAGAGAAGGGTGACACGGTTTTTGCTCACTCTCTCTGCCGGCTTTGCCCAAATCTGTGAGGCCACCGTAATCTACTTTGTCTAATGGAACACAAGCCAGTTTAGGGCTGGTAGGACAAGCCTGCTAATCCCTGGGGCTCAGGCATTTACCACCTGGTTCCAGGACGTCCTTTACTGTATTAGCATCAGAGAGCCAAATCCTGGCCCCAGAGGGGGGTGGTGGCAGAAGTATCTATGGGTCACTCCCCCTCTCCTGCTCCCCCAACAATGAGCTGGGGCAACTCAGATACAGTGTCGCTGCTTCAGACCCTGGAGTCCAGGAAGCTTTTTTAAATGACCAGAACAGCTCCTTCACATGAAATCATCAGATGCAAAAGGTAAGGGTGGAAGCTATAACACCAAGTGGCTGGGTCTCTTCCTTCCATCAAAGGCAGTGTGGGTTGGTGGGTTCACACGGACTTGGGTGCAAATCCTGTACCAACCGTGTTACCCTGAGAGAGTCACTTAACTCCTTGAGGTCTCTATTTCCCCACCTGCAATAACAGCTGATGATAAAGTCTCTGCTTTGCAGGTTTGTTGTGTGTTAGGAAGAGAGGGAGAGAGGGAGGCATCCAAGGAGAGAGAGGAGAGGGGAGGGGAGGGGGGAGAGGGGAGGAGAGGGGGAGGGTGAGGGAGAGGGGAGAAGGGGAGGGGAGGGGGAAGGGGGAGGGGAGAGGGCAAAAGGGGAGAGGGGAGGGGGAGGGGAGAGGGGAAGGGGAGAGGGGAGAGAGCAAGCAAGTGCCAGAGTACAGCCAGAGCCAGAGCCAGAGCCAGAAACCGAGAAAGTCAGGGTCAGACAGGGACTGAAGGGCTGGAAAAAAGAGAGTGAGGCACAGAGTGGGGAGGGAGGAAAAGGCGAGGGAGTGCACAGCCCGTTCTGCACACGTCCCTGCTTAAGAGTTGTCTCTGCCCTCAAGGCGGACTCTCGTCCTTGCCCTACTATCCTTAAATCCTCTCTCGTTCTGGACCTTCCACATCTGCCAAGGTCCTTTCCTGGACCAACAGCCGCTGGCGCAGGTGAGTGTGGCACAGGGGGTGCCCGTGTAGGCGCTGGAGATGGACCCCGGGGAAGAGCGGCCAGGGTAGTGGAAGGGCAGGATTGGAGCTGTGGAGACACAATAAGGATCCGTGCAATAAGGTTCAGAGAGTGCAGGTCTGGGAAGGCAGCTGAGTCGCTGTCCCATTTAGTTTCCAAATCGCTCAACCTCATAGGCTGCGCGCTCCCCCTCTCCCCAGAACTCGGATTTGCCCTCAGCAGGCCCTCAAGCCTTCTCTGGTTCTGTTCTTCCCACCCCGCTTCTCCTCTGCAGTCCGCGAGTCAATGGCCAGGGTCCGTGGCTTCGGGGGACCGCGGCTCTTGGCGCTGCTGTGGATGCTGGAGCAGGCGCGCGTCGCGGGAGCGGCGGGCTCCGTGCGCCTGGCCGGCGGCCTCACGCTGGGCGGCCTGTTCCCAGTGCACGCGCGGGGCGCGGCGGGCCGGGCGTGCGGGCCGCTGAAGAAGGAGCAGGGCGTACACCGGCTGGAGGCCATGCTGTACGCGCTGGACCGCGTGAACGCCGACCCAGACCTGCTGCCCGGCGTGCGCCTGGGCGCGCGGCTGCTGGACACCTGTTCGCGGGACACGTACGCGCTGGAGCAGGCACTGAGCTTCGTGCAGGCGCTGATGGGCGGCCGCGGCGACGGCGATGAGGCGGCGGGGCGCTGCGCGGGCGGGGTGCCTCCGCGCCGAGCCGCGCCCCCAGAGCGCGTGGTAGCTGTTGTGGGCGCCTCTGCTAGTTCCGTGTCCGTCATGGTCGCCAACGTGCTGCGCCTGTTTGCGGTGAGGGCCACCGGGCCGGGTCAGCGTCCTATGTCTCTCTCCTGTCCTCACCCTTTGGCTTCCTGAGGGCTTTCCCCTTTTATCTTTCTTGCAGAAATCACTCTAGATCACAGACAAAAAGCTGCTTCAAAGAAACAGCCAGACGCACACCTGGATCTCATTGCTCTAGCTTCCCATGTTTGTCGGGGAGCCCTCCCACGATTGCTGCCGGCAGACACAGCTCTCTGTGTAAATTAAGTGTACCTACTGGTCTGACAAGAGGGCCTCTCCTCCAGGGGGATGCACCCCACCACCAGGCTGAAGACAGTTTGCACCTGGGGACTACATCGGCTAGAGCAGAACAGGCTGAATTTTAGTTCCTGCTGGCGCCTAGCTCAAGTGGCCTTGTTTTGGGCATAGCCGGCAGGACTGTGCGTTGATATCCTTCCCTATGGAGGATTCTGGTAAACTTGAGTCTTCAAGCTTACCTTGGGGCTAGGGCGCTTCTTGTGGCAGGCAGCAGTCAACTGGGACTTGCTCCTGCTACTCTGGGGGGAGAGGATGTGGGTCCACAATATCCCATCCCTATTTCTTCTTTTTAATCAATTTAACTTAATTTCAGATATGCCTTTAAAGGTCTTTTAAGGGCCCTCTGAAAGAGGTAGCAATGGGTCTCCTTTCTAGTGTTTTTCTCTAGAGCTTGCGTTGGGGGAGGTGCCTGGCTAGGCCCTGGGATGCCCTCATCTTTAGAGACCAGTCTTCTGTGAGGGCTAGCAGCTTCCTTGCAGTCTGCAGGCCAGTGATTTTGGGTTTCCATGGAATCAGAGATTAGCGGGTCTTTGACATTGGGCCATTTTCCCGGGGCTTCATGATACAGTTTTCCTGGGGCTTCATTTAGCGTCTCAGTCCTTGGAAGCATTTTTCTGTGAAGACAGGAAGACTTTGCTTCCACTTAACAAACAAGGAGACTTCTGTTTCTTCACAATTTCCCTGATTCTGCCAGAGTGACCTGTATTTCTACCCCATGCGCACTGGGTAGATGTTTTCTCTGAGCCCCTCCCTTCTTCATGTGGGTAGGCACCCCATTTCATTCCCTCCACTCCAGATTCTGCTGGATGGTATTGTTGGTGCAGAACCCGCAGACACATCCTGTTGGCATGGGGAGGAGTGTCTCTGTCTCACCTGCCCGCATCTGCCTATTACTGTGGGCTCTGTTCCTGCCCTGCCTGGAGCTCTGTTTTCTGTTTGTCCCCGTGTTTACCCCTCTAGGTCAAGTACCGAGATCTCAACAGATTTTAGGCACTGGATCGTTTAAAAAAAAAAAAATCAAGGCAGGCTGCACAAAAGGCAACCATGGGCCAGATTTGGCTGCCTGGGGCCCATGGTACAATTGGTGGTCTAGAAGGAAAGATGAGGGTTTTGAGTTCATTTAGCATCTCTGTAATCTTAAGCCTTTAAAATTAACTTCCTGAAGGAGATTCAGCCTACATGGGAAGGTTGCTCTGAAAAGTGAAGTGAAATATCTTGAGTGCCCAGAGGAACCATGGTGTGTCCCTTTAATTGCACTACAGCCAATGTCCCTTTCTTCCTTTTTTCTGATTTACCCTCTACCTGCTTGTTTTTCTATGTCTGATTGTCTTGCTTTCACAGTCTCTTTTCTTCTTTCTCTTCACCGCCTTTGCTTGCCTCCTCCCAGGTCTTCTCTCCCTCCCCCTCTGTCTCTTTCCCTCCACATTCTATACTTTCTTTGGCTTCCTTCAAACAGCTCTATCTCCCCTAAACCATTCCCAGTTTTCTCCCAGAACCTTCCTCTCCTCTGACCTTCAAAGCTCCCACTTGTTCCTTTCCCTCTGTTGCTGGTGAGTATGTTTCTTTTTACATTTTTTTTTTTATTGAAGTGTAATTGGATACGATATCATTTTAGTTTCAAGTGTACAACATGATGATTTGACATTTGTTTATGATTTGAAATGAATGTCTGTTGTATTTTTTCTTAGGAGTGTGTCTTTCTGGACTGTGAGAGACTCACCCCTTTGTCATTTTCCTTCCTGGCTTTGTCAGCCTCTGCCCCCAATCCCACTCTCCTTTCACAAGTACTTTCTCCTAGGTCAGCTCAGCCAGCCCATAATCCCTGCTCTCAATCACTGTCATCACACACATAAACCCCAGTTCCAGACAGGCTCCTCCGTTAGGCCAGACACAACTTTGAATTAAGTCACCCGAGCTCCCCTGCCTGCTGCCACTCCCTCCCCATCCCACAGACTGCCCCTTTGTGCGCAGTAGGAGAAGGTGAAGAAGGGGGAGGGCAGATAGGACATCCTTTTCCCTAGCCTTTGTGTGGCAGATGGGTTGACTGCATATTGGACTTGAGCCCCCAGTACTCCCCCCCACTTTGCTCAGGACAGAGTCTGCATATCTGTGTGTGGTGACCCTGCCCTGTATCCTAAACCTCATTCCTCCTGTATTCCATCACACCCAGTCACAAAATGCAGCTCTTCCCCACACCTTCTAGCCTCTCCATGTGGCTGTTCCCATTGGTCCCAACTCCCTGCCATAGACTTCCATGTTCCTACCTGCATCCTGGGGCCCCATGGACCTCCCCCCAGCAGGTTACTGAACCCCTTTCCACAGCCCATGTGTCCTTCCACCCTCCAGATCCCCCAGATCAGCTACGCCTCCACAGCCCCTGAACTCAGCGACTCCACACGCTATGACTTCTTCTCCCGGGTGGTGCCACCTGACTCCTACCAGGCCCAGGCCATGGTGGATATCGTGCGGGCATTGGGATGGAACTACGTGTCCACGCTGGCCTCCGAGGGCAACTATGGTGAAAGCGGGGTTGAGGCCTTTGTGCAGATCTCCCGGGAGGCTGGTGAGCTGGGATGGAGGGATCAGAGTCATCTAGGAGCCTAGAGGGGGTGAGCCAAGAATAGTCAGATGGGGCAGAAGCCCTGAAATAGGGCACTGGCTCCATGGCCCAGGGTCTGGATGTGTCCAATTCCTTTGGAAGGTTCAGCTTCTGCCTCACGGCTTCACAGACACGTGTCTTGTGTCTGGCCTAAAGAAGGTGCCTATTTGGAACTGGAGCCCAGGCTGGACCTCAGCCCACCAGTCCCCTCATACAGGACCCGAGTTCTGATCATCCTACAGAGTCATGTGGGTGGGGGCCCCTGTGTGTGATTGAGCTGACTTTGGCATCCTTGACACCTAGGGGGGGTCTGTATTGCCCAGTCCATCAAGATTCCCAGGGAACCAAAGCCTGGAGAATTCAACAAGGTGATCAAAAGACTCATGGAGACACCCAACGCCCGGGGCATCATCATCTTTGCCAGTGAGGATGATATCAGGTGGGACTAGTGGTGTGCTCCCTTGCTGTGTTCTTCAGAAGCTGTTGTTAAAGGTTCTGTCTCCCCTTCTTACACGCTTCCCTGCCATGCACCTCCCTTCATCCTTTCCTTCTTTCTCCCTGCTTATTTCCCCATTTTTCCTGCTGCCATCTCTCTGTCTGATGCCTCTTAATGATCCGGGGCTAGTCTGGGTGGAGCTGCTCTAAACATAGCCTGGAAAGCACACAAGAATACATGGCTTTTTTATTTTTTTTAATTCACAGTAGTGGCAGGGGTGAAGTGAGAGAGACTGATGGGCATCTGACAGAAGATGAGCTGTCAGAGAAGTATAGTGGTAGAAGCAGGAGGCCACAGACCCAGGCCGTGAGCTTCATGTGGCTTAGAGCCTGTTGAGGAATCTATAAGAGAATCAAGGCCCTTCCAACCTGAGCGAAGTGGACTTCATAGCACAGAATAAGAGGGCAGCCTGGGCTCAGAGCCAGGATGGATCTCTTACCACCACCTAAGCAACCTAGGGCTAGTATCCTAAACATCCCTGTCACAAACTGAGGCACAACTGTGAAGAAAAAGAGGAATTTAGTTGGGGGTTTTGAGACTTGCAATCCAGGGAAAGGCAGGGCCAGTATAAAACTGAACTGTGCTGAGTCCCCCTGGTGGTGCAGGAGTTATAGTCTCAATGCTATCAAGATATTGCCAGCCACTGCGGCCTGACTTTTATCCCGGCCAGGTTGCTGACCCACATGGCGCAGCAGACCTCTCCTGTCTCACCCGCTGCTCCCCTCAGCAGTGTATTTCAGTCTGCCTGTTCTGCTCCCCGCTCTGTCTCTGGTGAATCCTCTCACCACCACCCCCCACCTCTGGCCTGTACCCCAGTTCTTGTATGAATTAATAAAAATGAATTAAAAAAAACAACAACAAAAAATCCTGAATTGTGCTCCCCAATGACACTGGGGCTACAGTATTTAAAGGTGCAGAAGGCAGTTTTACACAGCAGTTTGAGCAGTTACAACTGAGGTGACTCAAGCAAGAAGTAGTCTCTGAGCAACTGTTCCGTCTCTTTCAACTGTCAGGACACCTGCAGTTGTGTGCCATATTTTCAGAATTTTTGTGTGCAGCCAATGTCCATTAGTCCTTATCTGGTAGGAGACGTGTGGAAATCATACTTCCTTTGTGGTCTTTCCTGTTCCACTTTAGATTCCCTTTGCATGGCCACCTCCATTTTACCTCTTTATTTCCACACTGACACCCCATCTTCTCCAGTGACTGAGGATCTGGATGAGTGATGTGGAATGGGAAAAACAGAGGGAGAAGAATGGGAAGTGACTTGGCCCTCGCTCACCTCCAGTGCTGTTCTTACCAGGAGGGTCCTGGAGGCTGCACGCCAGGCCAACCTGACTGGCCACTTCCTGTGGGTCGGCTCAGACAGCTGGGGAGCCAAGACTTCCCCCATCCTGAACCTGGAGGATGTGGCCATAGGGGCCATCACTATCCTACCAAAAAGGGCCTCCATCGATGGTGAGTTTAGGGGGTCACTGCCTCCTTCCTGCTGTGGTCCCACTCCCACTCAGGATGTGCATTGTAAATCTGAACAGTGACCCAGGTTCCTCCTAAAACCCCCACGTTCTAGGATTCTGAGATTCTGTGAACACATCCCTCTAAGCTGCGCTTGAATGAGCTGGCAAATGAGGAACTGGCACACTCTGCTGTACAAAGTGAAGATCGTTAGTCGTTTTGTCTAATTCAATGTCTTTATGGTTCTGCCAAAGGCATTCTAACTTGAGGATGAGGTAGTGGGAGAGAAATCAGGGACCTGTGACATACTGTCCTGTTGATTAAAATTTTAAGTGACCAAACTAAGTGTTTCACTTGCTGTCCACAAAGCCAAATTCTGAGCCATGAATATGTTAGCACTAAGAAGTTTATTATGTGAGGCTGTCGCCAAAGGGAGTCTACTTGGGATAGTAACCCAAAAGAAGCTGGCTTCCCAAAATGGGGGCTGCCCTGTTGATATGCAGGGGGAGGGACTGCAAGGAGGTGCAGGACAAAAAGGGAAGTGAGGAGGTGCCGGGCTGTGGAGGGTCAGAAGTTCTGGTGCTCAGCTCCTCCAGCTGGGTGTGTCCTGCTGGGCAAACAGTCCCTAATGTCCACGCTGCCCTTGCCCCACGCTAGTGTAATGTTTAAGGGGGCCTAGAGAATCCTGAAGTTGGGGAAGTAACAAATAGTTCTCAAGGTTTCAGGAAATGCAGAAGAAGAAACAAAGAGTATTATAATATTTGATTTTGCTTAGTTTAACTTTATTCTAAGAGATTTTAAGCTACAAAATGAAGGGGGTCTGGCTACAGAGTGATGAGGCCAGCTCTCCAGCCCCTCCCCCACTCCTTGGGGACCTGAACTAAGCCGGCAGAGAAGTTCCCTGGAGACAGGATTGCTTGTTTCCCTAAAGTTTCATCGAAGATGCCTAAATGAGGTTCTTTAGGACTATTTATGATTCCCAGGGGCTCTTGGTCATTTGGGGGCTCACACCCACCTTTGTACACTTCCTGTTAAAATGTATCTAGTGGCAGGTGACAAACTAGACTGAGAGTGCTTTTAGCAGTATGGTTTTTCATCACATGACAAGAGATTTCAAAATAGTTGACTTCATGTTTGGGGCAGTGGTCAATGACCTGCTGAAAGCTGGGAGCTATGTGCCACCTTCTGTTCCGCTGTCCGCTGTGGTTGCCGTGTCTTTGTTGTGGTGTCATAGCCGCAGAGTGACAGCTGACGCTTCACTCATTACATCTTCATAGCAGCGTCCTAACCAGGTAAGAAGGAGCAACATAAAAGCCTGCAGGTGGTAAGGCGCTGAGTTGGCATCCAGATGCAGATTCTACCCTGAAACCCCGATGACTCTGAACTCCCAGTCAGAAGTTGGCCATAGGGGCAAGCAGTAAATGGCCACAAGAGAACCATGACTGGCTCAGGTGACCACACCCTCCTTTCTCTGCCCCCATGTCAGGATTTGACCGATACTTTATGACCCGCTCCCTGGAGAACAATCGCCGGAACATCTGGTTTGCCGAGTTCTGGGAAGAGAATTTTAACTGCAAATTGACCAGCTCAGGTACCCAGTCAGATGCTTCCACCCGCAAATGCACAGGTGAGAGCTGCCCAGGGGTGGGGGGGTGGTGAGAGAGAGGGTGGAACCACCAGGCCAGGTTCGGCACTGGAGGGCCAGGGGCACTTAATTTGGACATCCCTAGGACAGGTGAGGAACGTATCGGCCAGGACTCTACGTATGAGCAGGAGGGAAAGGTACAATTTGTGATAGACGCTGTGTATGCCATCGCCCACGCCCTCCACAGCATGCACCAGGCACTCTGCCCCGGGCACTCAGGCCTGTGTCCTGCCATGGAGCCCACCGATGGGCGGATGCTGCTGCGGTATATTCGAGCCGTCCGCTTCAACGGTGAGTGGGTGTCAGAACCCCTGTGGAAGAGAGGGGAAGTCTGCTGGGATGGATTTCTTTGTATTTCCTAGACGACTCAGGTTGGAAGGGAGACAGAGTGGTGTAGTTGAAACAGGGGCGGCCAGAAGTAAAAGGGCAACAAGGCAGGAGGCTGGATGAAAGGATGGAATGGCCACCCACCTGCCCGGGCTCTGAGACCAGAGGGCCACCAAAAAGCCCCAAAAGGCCAAAAACCAAAACCAAGGGCTATAGCTTAACAAAGGACAGTGGCTGTTAAGAGGACAGGTCACTGTCTGTGGGTTCTCACCCGCGCACAATTGCAAGAGACCTTAGACTCCAGGAACAACCGCCATGGGGTTTATTTTACAAACGGGAAACAAAGCGTTCACTGTATCAGCAAGTGGCGGCTGCCTCACCTAGACAGCATCAATGATGGTCGCCATTGGTCACCAGGAGTGCTGTATAGCACTGGCCAGTAGTGATGGCCACTGCTGGTCCCTCAGAGGCGGTGTCAGAGACACCCAGTGTTAACAGCTCTTTGTGCTATACCAACCACAGACAGCTCTTAGATGCCAGGCCCAGGGCCTTTGGGGCTCCTTTCAGGCAACATCAGAGACAGGCCCCAGGCCCAGACTCTGCAAAGATCTTCAGCTTCTCTTCCCTCCTTGGAGGTCGGCTGCTGGATGCTTCTTTTCCTTTTCCTTTGGAGCCCAGGAACGGAATCTTCCCCCTTCTTACTTCTTCCTTTGGAGGCTGGAACCGTCTTCTTTCTTCAGGGGTTGGTGGTGGTGGCAGCTTTCTCCTTCATGGGCTGGCATCTTCTCTTCTGCTCCCTTGAATCCTGCCTTATATTATTTTTCAGGGTGTCCCGCCACAAGTCTGATTGGACCAGTTTTCGATCCTGTGGCTGATTGGACCATAGCCATAGCACTTGATTGGTCCATTCCATGATCCAGGAAGTACACTGTTACATAAAAGGGTTCTGAGGAGCAGCTGCCACAACTGACTTGTGGTGGAGCAGCAGGGTGAGAGAATACCACTGCCCCAGCCAGCTCCCACTGCTGAGGCAGCTGGGTTCCAGTAACGAAATGAGAACCTGAGAGCTCAGTTCTGGAGACCAATTTTTAACACCCCTCCTACCCTAACTTGCAAAATGCAGTTCTAGGGGAATAACTTTGTGACCCCCTTCTCCCTGGAACCCTCATAATTCTCCCCTCTGTTGCACAGAGCTTGGGGGCATATGAACTCTGGGTATGGGGCACAGTGCCAACGCAGTTGTCCACACTGTGGATGCACTGCTCCCTCTGAGGGTGCCCCACCTACAAGTCTGATTGGATCATTTTTCATTCCTGTGATTGATTGGCCCATTTGCACCAATCAGCTCATAGCTCACACCTGATTAGTCCATTCTATAATCCCGGCACCACATATAAAATGGAGGTTGCTGGGCTCTAAGGAGCCACAGCCAGAGTGGACTGCTGCTGCTGCAGCTGCTGCAGCTCCTGCAGCAACAGCAGCTCCATCTGCTGAGGTGTTCTGGTATCATTTTCATCCTGCAGAACTGAAACTCTTACTGTTGTAAGAGTTAATTCCCTATCCTCCCTTCCTCCAGACCATAGCGACCACCATTCTACTTTGTGTTTCCATGAATTTGGTTACCTTAGGTATACCTCACTAAGTGGAATCATACTATATTTGCCCTTTTATGAATAGGCAATTTCATTCACATAAACTCCTCAAGCACATTATGTTTTCATTCATATAGCCTTTGTCAGAGTGTCCTTATTCTCAAGGCTGAAGAGTAGTCCATAGCATGGATAGACTACATTTTGTTTATCCATTCAACCCACAATGAGCATTTAAATAATGCTGCTATGAATATGGTGCACAATTATTTCTGTGAAACACTGCTTTCAGTTCTTTGGGACATATACCTAGAAGTGAAATTGCTGAATCATGAAGTTATTCTATGTTTAAATTTTTGAAGACTCAAAATGCTGTTTTCTGTGCAGTGATGGCACCATTTCACATTCCCATTAGCAAAGCACAAGGATTCCAACTTCTCTACACCATTGCCAATGCTTGTTATTGTCTGTTTTCCTGAAAGTAGCCATCATAATAATGTGAGTAGTCTCGTGGTCTCACATTGTAGCTTTGATTTGCCTTTCCCTGATGATAATGATACTATCTCCTTTTTAATGTTTATTTTCTTACATCATTGTTAATTTTTGGACATATTTAATATCTTCCCTCAGGTGTATTCCCTATAGTTCTCCTACCACCACAGCACACATGATCCATCACCACAGTCCCTTGTGCACTTTCCACACCTGTTTTGGCCCCTCTCCCTTTTCCTCTCCTGCTGTATGACTCGGATCTGTGGTCAGCTCGCAAGTTTTGATTTTTTTTCCCTGACCCTTTGGTTTCTCTGTATTCTGCATATAAATGAAACCATGAGATATTTATGATTTTTTTCTTCTTATTTCACTTAGCACAATCCCCTCCTGCTCCGCCTGTATTGCCACAAGTGGTGTGAATTTATCTTTTTTGATCACTGAGTAGTACTCCTTTGTGGTGTATATATACATATATTACATCTTCTTGATCCATTCACCTGTTTTGGACATTTAGATTGTTTCCATATCTAGGCTATTATAAATAAGGTTGTGATAAATAGAGGAGAGCAGGTTACCTGTAGGATTAGTGTTTTTGTGTCCTTTGGATAGATTCCTTGGAGTGGAATCACTGAGTCATTTGGTCAACCCATTTTTAGTGTTTTGAGGAACTTCCACACAGCGGTTCCAGGGTGGTTGGACCAATTTACATCCCACCAGCAATGTAAGAGGGTTGGTTCCTTTTCCTCAACATCCTCACCAGCATTGGTGGTTTCTGTTTTTTGTTTGTTTAATATGGGCCAGTCTCACAAGCGGGAGGTGGTTTATATTATTGTAGTTTTGATTAGCATTCCCCTGATAATGTTATTGAAAATTTTTTCATGCGCCTATTGGCCACTTGCATTTCTTTCTCTTCAGACTGGTAAGTTTACATGTAAGAACACCACTGATTTGTGTATTAATTTTGTAATCTCTATTTTACTGAGTTGTTCCATTGTTTTAATTAGTTTTTCCATGGATTTTTTAGGATTCCTTCTCAATATTATAATATCATCTGCAAATAATGATAGCTTATTTCTCTTTTTCCCACTGTTTGAATTCCTTTTAATTCTTCTCTTGTGTAATTGCTCTAGATAGGACTTCTAGTATAAAAATGAAAAGCAGTGGTGAGAGTGGATATACTTGTCTCATTCCAGATCTTAAAGGGAAGGCTTTTAGTTTTTGACCATTGAGAATATTGTTAGCTGTGGGTTTGTCATATATGAATTTTATTATGCTAAGATATGTTCCTTTTGTCCCAAAGTTTTCAAGGGCCCTCATCAGAAATGAATGTTGAACTTTATCAAATGCTTTCTCAGCATCTGTTGATATGATCATATGAAGTTTTTTTTTTCTTATTCTTTCTGTGGTGAATTATATTATTTGATTTTTGGATGTTGAACAATTCTTGTGTCCCTGGAATAAATCCCACTTGCTCGTGGTGTATAATCCTTTAATGTATTGTTGGACTTGTTTTTCTAAGATTTTATTAAGGATTTTAGCATTCGTGTTCATTAGGGAGATTGGCCTGTAGTTTGTTTTTTCTTGAGTTGTCTTCACCGGGTTTTGGTAGTAGTGTGATGTTGGCCTTGTGATATGCATTTGGTAGTACTCCTTCATTCTCAATTTTTTTAAAGAGTTTTTGTTGGCTAGGTATTATTCATCTTTGAATGTTTGGTATAACTTATTTGTGAAATCATCTGGTGCTGGGCTTTTGTTTTTTGGGAAGGTTTGATTACTCTTTCATTTCCTTTGCTTGTAATTGGTTTGTTCAAGTTTTCTATTTTTTTTTTTTTGTTCAGACTTGTGTAGTTGAATAATTCTAAGAATTTGTCCATTTCATCTTGATCATTGACTTATGTGTATATAAATATCCATAGTAATTTCTAATTACCCTCTGGATTTCTGCTGTGTCTGTTCTAATTTATCCTCTTTCATTTTTGGTCCTATATCCTATTTATTTAAGTTTTCTCCCTCTTTTCCTTTGTGAGCCTGGCTGATGGTTTATGTATTTTGCTTATTTTTCAAAGAACCAATTTTTGGTTTTATTGGTCTTTTGAATTGTCTTTTTCATTCCTATTTCACTTATTTCTGCTTTAATTTTTGTCATTTGCTTTATTTGACTGGTGTGGGGGGGTTTTGTTGTTAATTTTCTGGTTCTTTGAGATGGGAGATTAAGTTATTTCTTTGGGTTCTTTCTAGTTTCTTGATGTGAGTCTATTTCTATATACTTTCTGTTGTGTCAGGCAACACCACTGTCAAAGACATGGGAGATGTGAAGCAAGCTGTTATGGCAGGATGCTGCCAAGAAGGCGAAACCTGCCTTTTTATTGTTGAATGATTTTACAGAGTCAATTACTCAGAGCAGAAGAACAAAGAGAAAAAAGTTAGAAAGAAGCGAATGTATGCTTCGGTTATCTAGGCTTTTTGGTGAGATGCTTCTGAGCATCTGGATTAGTTTTATGGTTTGAAGATCAAAATAAGCTTCTGACCCCCACTCGTGGTTCTGATCTTATTAGCAAGGAGTTTCGCTAATCAGTCTCTGGAATGCAAAGTTACATATCATTTGATGGCTCCCCAGGCGTTCCTGGCCATGCCTCTTCACATATACTCATTGTCCAGGGAATTACACATCCTGCTCTTATTTAACTGAAGAGGAACCTTTGCAGGATCAGCAGTCTCTATTCTTTAAGTTTAGGTAATTATTGACTGGTTCAAATGGACTTTGTACTGAAAAGGCCTAGCTGCATAGCTGGAATGACAGCTTATGCAGCCCTTTAAGCCTAACAGACCCACAACTTTCCTCTTAGTACTGCTTTTGCTGTGTCCTGTACATTCTGATAGGTTGTGTTTTCATTATCATTTATCTCAAAGTATTTTTTAATTTCTTCTTTGATATCCTCAGTAGAGTGTTCAGTATTTCAGTGGTATTTCAGTAGAGTATTCAGAATCCATGTAATGGGTGATCTCCTTGCTTTCTTTTTGTAGTTGATATCTAGTTTGATACTTTTATGGTTATAGCAGATACTTGGTGCGATTTAGAACTTCATGTACTTGTTGATGTTTGCCCTGTGACCCTGTATAGGTTCAGTCCTGGAGAATGATCAGTGTACATTTGAGAAAAATGTGGATTCAATTTTGGGGGAATGTAGTGTCCTATACATGTCTGTTAGGACTATCTTTGTTTAGGACTATTGTGTCCTTGTTTATTTTCTGTCTTGTTGATCTGTCCATTGGTGAGAGTGGGGTGTTGAAGTCTCCTATCACATATGTATTTATCTGTTGTCAGAGGTGTTAGTAATTTTCTAATGTATTTTGGTGCTCCCTCATTTGGTGAGTATACATTGATGAGTGTTATGTCTTCCTGGTATATTGTCCTCTTGATCATTATATTGTGTCCATTCATGTCTCTTGTTACCTTTTTTTAGCTGGAAATCTGTTTTATCTGATGAAATTATGGCTGTCTCTGGCTTTTTGGGAGAGCCATTTGTTTGTAGAATTGTTTTCCTACAATTCTCTACTTTCAATCCGTTTGTCTCTGGAACTGAGGTGTGTTTCCTGGAGGCAGCAGAAGGTTATTATTCTGTGTGTTTTTATTGGTGAGTTTAGACCATTAACATTTAGGGTGATTATTGACATATACATCTGTTACTGCCATTTGTTCATCATTTTGTGGTTCTCGTCAATTCCTTGTTCAGTTCTTCATCTTCATTCTTATGTTGGTTTAGATCCAAAGGCTTTTTGTAGTATTACTCGGAGTGAGGGTTTAGTTGTAGTGAATTTATGAAGATTTTGTTTGTGTGAGAAGGTCCTGTGAGAAGGAGAGCTTTGAAGGATAAAGTGTTGGCTGGCATTTTTTGTCTTGGAGTTTTTTCAATATGTCACTACAGTTTTTTCTTACATGTAAATGTTTCTTCAGAGAAGTCTGATGGTAGCCTAATCAGTTTTTCTTTATAGGTTATCTGTTTCTTCTCCCTCCTCAGCTTCACTATTTTTTCTTTGTCTTGGATTCTTGGAAGCTTTACTGTGTGTTTTGCTGTAGATTTCCTTTCATTACAATAGTGTTTAGTGTCCATTTTGGCTTCCTATATGTCTACTTTCATATCCTCTTCAGTTGTTTCTTTGAATAGCATGTCAGCTCCTGCTCTCTCACTATTCTCCTCCTGGGATCCCATGACTATTATATCGTCTTTTCCTCATGGTTTCAGCTAATTCTCAAAATGTTTCTTCATTTTTCCCCTTTGTATCTCTCTTTTCCTTTCTTACTTAATTTTGTGTCTGTGTCTTTGAGATTACTCATTCTTTCTTCTTTATCTTTTATTCTGTATCCATGGCTTTTGCCAGAATATTTTACCTCTGCCTTTGATCTTTTTATATCTTGCAGTTCCTTTATTTTATTATTGAAAGTTTCAATCTAAATCTTCTGTTTGTTGGTTATGTTTCTCATAACATTCTTTTCCTTTTCTGCATCTGCTCATATATATCTTATATCTCTGATCTGGTTTGTTTTTTTCCAGTTTTGTTTGGGTTTTCACATTCTTTAACTTTCTTAATTATGGCTTTTGAATTCTTCATCTGACAGAAAGAATAATTCTTCTGTGTCAGTATTGTTTGGTTCTGGAGATTAATTTTCTTTCTGTGATGTATTGTTCCCCCAAGGGCTTGCTTAACCATTTGCATTTTTCTTTCTCCCCATTGTTTGCCTTTGGGTTTGCTCTGCTATAAATGGAACTTCTGTTGGGCATGGATCTGCCTCTCCCTCTATTCTGGGTGTTTACTGAAGTACAATGTGGGTCATCCTGTGGCTTGTGCCAGTGGGTGGGGTCCTCTGGCTGTGCCTACCCAGTTGTGTCTTGTCCAGGTGAGTTTCCATGCTGCAGGGCTGGTGGGCATCTATCTGAACAAGCTGCTGGTGGGGTCTCACGGGTGGTTGTGTGGCTTCAGGCTACTGTGGATTACACTCTGATTCATATTCTAGGCCTCACCAGTCTGTGCAGGTGCTGGCAGGGATCTTGTGGGAAGTCATGGGACCCTTGTAAGTGCAAGCAGTCATTGGCAGGGTTCCATAATAGGTTTCAAGGCTTCTGCTCATCTGAGTAGGCACTGTCTGGGTCTGGTCCAGGTGGGCACTGGTTGGTTCTCATAGCAAGTCACAAGACTTCTGATGGTCTGGGTTTGGGTGGGAAGGTGGTGGCAGTGGGTTCTCTTGCAGAAGTCATGAGGTCTCTGGGCATTCTGGCTCTCTCTCTGAGATGGGTCTGGGATCTCACCTTGTTGAGTATCTTTGTATATAGTTAAGCATTTCCTTTATCCCGGCTGGGCCTTCGGCCTCTCCAGGAGCCTGCCTCCGCAGGAATGGAGATGTGGCTGAGCATGACAGACTCTTCTTCCAGGCAGTGCAGGAACCCCTGTGATGTTCAATGAGAATGGGGATGCACCTGGGCGTTATGACATCTTCCAGTACCAGGCGACCAACAGCAGTGCTGACAATGGCGGTTACCAGACAGTTGGCCAGTGGGCAGAGACACTCAGGTTGGATGTGAGTGGCACAGTCTAAACTCTGGGTGCAGGAAATCTGGCCAAAGCTTGTAGATGGAGGTCACTGATCCATGTTCCCTGTGTCCTAGGTGGAAGCTCTACATTGGTTGGGAGACCCCCAACAGGTGCCTCCATCTCTGTGCAGTCTCCCCTGTGAACCTGGTCATCGGAAAAAGATGGTGAAGGGTGTGTCATGCTGTTGGCACTGTGAGGCTTGTGATGGGTATCGTTTCCAGGTGGACGAGTTCACATGTGAGGCCTGCCCTGGGCACATGAGGCCCACACACAACCACACAGGCTGCCGCCCAACACCAGTGTTCTGCCTGACCTGGTCCTCACCCTGGGCAGCCCCACCCCTCCTCTTGGCTGTGCTTGGCATCATGGCTACCACCACAGTGGTGACCACCTTTGTGTGGCACAACAATACACCAATTGTCCGGGCCTCTGGCCGTGAGCTCAGTTATGTCCTGCTCACTGGTATCTTCCTCATCTATGCTATCACCTTCCTCATGGTGGCTGAGCCTGGAGCTACTGTCTGCGCTGCTCGGAGACTCTTCCTGGGTCTGGGCACCACCCTCAGCTACTCTGCCTTGCTCACCAAGACCAACCGCATCTACCGCATCTTTGAGCAAGGGAAACGCTCAGTCATGCCTCCGCCCTTCATCAGCCCCACTTCACAGCTAGTCATCACCTTCAGCCTCACCTCTGTGCAGGTGGGTCCTCACTCCCAGGGTGATCAGGGCTGGGAAGGGGGTTGTCTTCTACTTTAAAAATCAGAGTGTCACTCTTCTACTTTGACTCCCATACCAAGAACTCATTTAAGACCAGCCATTTTGCCTTGTTCCATTCTTGAAGGAGGGAGCATGAACATTCAGCTATTATTCTGTAAAACAAACTTATTTTCATAAACTGCGCATGCTCTTCCACCATTTGACTCCCATGTAAAAATGGAGCAAAGAGATATCTGATGGATATTCCTCCAGCAAAGAATCTATTTTGTTGCCAACTGAGAAAAACATGATGAAGCTAAAGTAAAATAACTGTGTTTGTTTGGGGAAGGAGGGACTTAGTTTTTCACATTGAGTAGCACAATCTCTGATACCAGCACAAAATGTGCTCTGTTGGGATCTATGTTTAAAGGGCTTTTAAAGGGGGAAAAAAAAGAATAGGATTGTAGAAATTGTGGATCAAGAAATAGGATTTATTATAGATTATATTCTTCAGAGTTTATTGGATTTTAGTTAAGTTGACCTTGGTGACTATGGTGACTTTGTGCAGTTCTTGGAAAAGGCTCTGTCTAGCTGGACACCAGTTCTCTCCAGTCAACAAATAGGTTTCTAAAAATATTCAATGTTCAACAATATGGAATTTTGGCACAGGATGGAATTGTTTAGTCTTCCCTGAACATTGTTTTCAACACCATAAAGGATTAACCACTGCCCAATTCACTGGTTAACCTGGATTAGAGGCATGGGTCCAGGGATGGGCCATGTCACTATGGAGTGGAGCATCCATTTCTTCAGATGGTCAGGACTTCACGATGTATATGCAGCAGAAGCAGAGTTCCTTTGAGTTTTCTTAAAGACAGTAACATCACAACTTTGAAAACAATTCCTGTGATCTGGAACACCCTGAATGTTTTCTCTGCAAAAGGAGCAGGGACTCAGAGACTAAGGGACAGGGGTGTGTGGTGTGTGGTGTGTGTGTGTGTGTGTGTGTGTGTGTGTACTCATGACATTGTATGATATTGCAGAATCAGCCCAGTTCTCAAAATCTGGTGGAGAGCCCTTACTCAGCCCCTTTTGACCCCAAATGTGCTCTACTCCAGGGCAGACCCTCTCCCTACCCAACTTTGCATATGCCATGTGAGTCCCACCCATGAGCCTTGAACCATGCAATTCTCCATGATTGGAAGGCACTGCCAGCTTTCTGCAGCTAGCAGGGCCTCAACTTCCTCTGGCAGGCCCAGAATCTAAGTGCTCAGTGCATCCTGAGAATGAACCTCACTGCTTCCCTGTCTGAAGCCCCTGTGATGCCCCTTCCCCCTAGTATAGAGATGCTTGGATGCCCCTCCCAGGTTTACCTATGGACTCTCCACGTTTCACCCTCCTTTCCATACATCACAGACCTTTACAAAGAAGCACATCTTTAACTTTACTTGATTTACCAATGTAATAGATATGAAATGATATCTCACTGTTATTTTAGTCTGCTCTACTTAATTCCAAGTGCAGCCAACCTTTGGAATTTCCTCTTACTGTGATGTGCCCATTCCTATCCTTTTCTCATTTTATGTTACTTTGTAGACGTTCATTACAAGTACAGGATGCTAATTATTTATCAAGCACAGTTGACCCTTGAATAATACGGGTTTGAACCGCTCAGATCCACTTAAACAAGGATTTTTTTCAGTAATTAGAGTTGGCCTTCCATATCCTGGGATTCCACATTCAGCCAACTGTGCATGTCGGTTGAATCCTCATATTCAGAACTTATGAATATGGAGGGCCAATTTTGAGGGACTTGACTTCTGAGGATTTTGATATTCCAGGGAGAACTAAAACTAATCCCCAAAGGATACCAAGAAATGACTACAGTTTTTGGTAAGTCAAAATTATACTTGGAATTTTGAATACACATAGCCCTCGTCATTGTCAAAGGTCAACTGTACATGTGTTGCAAAATCAGCGGTGTACATTTTGGTGGTTATTCCCATGTATCACAGACCTTGGGTTTTAGTTTTTCACAGGAGACCTTATTTTCCCCAATTAGAGCTTTGTGCTAGGGGCAGCCTCCAGGTTGCCTTCTGGGACAGTGGGTGGGACTGTATTTTAGTAGTCCCTTACCATGGAGCTGCTGGCTTTGGAAGAATGACAGTCAGGTGCTCCTGAGTACGCACATATATAAAGTATCCCTTCCTCCAGGATCATGCAACTCTGCTCCAGGTGCACATCATGGCAGTAGAGTGTTGAGTAGATTTCAGACCCACTTGGTCCCCTTCACCCTGAATTAGGTACTCATGGGCAGTGAGTGATCTGTACAAATAGAGGGGGCAGGCCTTGTGGGGGCCCTGCCTTTATGTGGATGTCTTAATGTTTGCTCTTTAGCTTTCCTTGCCTCAATGTCAGTCTTATTTGGTCAAGGATGGTCAAGGTCCTGTTTCTGTGAGGGAATTCTTCCCTTCTTCTTTTCACTTCCATGTTAACCTCTGATAACCTCCAGCTCCTCAGAAAGTAGATTTGCTGTGTTGCTGGATGGGATCAAGTATTTTCACATCTGCAGAGTGGAGATAATACTGTGCTTTTGGAGGAGCGTGAGAGAGAACATCTTTGATGGGTCTCGCCCTGGATTGGTGGAACATGCACCAGCTCCTCCCCAAAGCTGGCAGTGTATTGTATAGCGCCAGCAATGCACAGGGCAGTTTCTCCAATGATTCGGGAGATGGGTAAAGGAGAGTCCTGGAGTCCTCATTGGGTTTTTCAGGCTTGTAATGATCTTTCTACACCATTTGTAGTGAGGCAACCAGGTGCAGGGCAGGCAGGGGGGTCGGGGGTGCTGGAAGGAAGTGAATCTTTACTCTCTCTCAGCTCTGTTGCATGAGGATGGCAAGAGAAAGGGCTGACCGAAACACTTGAGAAAACTTGTACACATCAGGGCGGAAAACCGCCCAGGAGGGACGCCCGGAACTTGCTTTGTGCTTGGAAGTCTCCTCGGTCGTTACCTAGCAACAGTGGCCCACTAGGGCAGACATGTCCGGTAAGCTCCAGGCCTCATAGCTCAAGGCCTCACATACGTGGTGTGTATGAGTTCACGTACATGGCGTGTGAGGCAAGGTTGTTTTGGCTTTCTCTAACTTGTGAAAAAAGTGTTAATTCTTTGTCTTTGTCATTAATTCCTATATAACCATGCTGAGAAAAATAGAAAATCACTGCTTCTTGCTCATAGCAGTCCCGGGTCTGGTTTGTCCTTCGCGATCAGCGTCCCAGGTCTCCGAGTCCACGAGAGGCTCACAAGCTCGCTCTGATGTTCTCTCGTGGTCTCTCCATCTCTTTCTGCTGTGCTCACCACACTGCCCTCTGTGTGATGCTGCCCTTGTAGCCTCAGCCTCCAGGCTCAGGTGTTCACACTCACGCATGTGCACTCCATACTTCAGATGTCCACCATGAGGCACGCCCCCAAGTGCCTCCTGCATTCAAGGCCACAAGTGATAGCCACAGAGGCCAATGGCATAAAAGCCTGAGCATCACATACCCTACAATTCACACAACAGACCATGAGTGATGAGGGTTCCCAGTGTATAGATGGAGTGGAGGTATTTAGGATTACAATGCCAGAATCTCTTCCTGCAGTCATTGTGCCTTGCAAAACTCAGTAAGTGCTGTCAGCAACGATTGGCATACATGAAGGGGATATCCAGGGCCTCTTAACCAACCAGCCATGCTGTTGTCCGCACAAGTCTCCACTTGCTCCCTGCCACAGCCCTTTGCCCAGATGCTCCTCTCCTGGACTTCCTGCCTCTCTATAATGTGAATCTTGGGCCTGCTTATCCCACATAGGAGGTCAAGAGCCTTAGGATCCTTAACCTGTTAGAGATGTCTGGAGGAGATCTGAGTTGGATTGGAGGATTGGGCTGGGTGTTTCCTTGTGTGCTTTGTGCTGATCTCAGCCTATTAATAATAATGTTTTTGGATAGAAATGCTTGGGGCACTCACCTGGAGTGTGGTGAATTGCCCATGGATCTTTCACCTTTTAAGCCAATATTACAACTGGACTGACCCGTGGGGTTTTCATTATGATGGCAACATGCCCATCAGCAATAGCCCTCAGGAAACTTTGGGGAAAAAAACCACCACCAGAGACCTGGAAATTACAAGATCCAGCACACCTGGGCCACAGTGAGGTTGAAGGGGGAGAGAGAAAGAGCACAGACCTAGATCTGAGGGCGAGGGTCTAGGATTTTACAGGATCATACTTTTTTTGTGAATATAACACCTCAGAGTGGGAAATTTAAAGCATGGCAGGGAGAAAAAAAAAAAAACCATGAAGAAAAAGGAAGAAACACAAGTCTGTAAAATAAAGAAGACTCAGTGGGGGCGGCAGCCTGGCTCTTACCTAGTAGTGTGACTGCCAGTGTCTGAGCCAGACCTCTTTGAAGAGGATGCCTTGGCATCAAAGCTTAGGTCATGCACTTACATTATCAAAATAAAAAGCTAACTCTCAGGGTTTTACAATATACCCTAATATTGTGTTGGCTCCTGCAGGTGGTGGGTGTGACTGCCTGGCTGGGAGCCCAGCCCCCATACAGTGTGATCGACTATGAAGAACAGCGGACAGTGGACCCAGAGCAGGCCAGAGGGGTGCTTAAGTGTGACATGTCTGATCTGTCCCTTATTGGCTGCCTGTGCTATAGCCTCCTGCTCATGGTCACATGCACAGTGTATGCCATTAAGGCCCGAGGTGTGCCTGAGACCTTCAATGAGGCCAAGCCCATTGGTTTCACCATGTATACCACCTGCATCGTCTGGCTGGCATTTGTGCCTATCTTCTTTGGCACTGCCCAGTCAGCTGAAAAGGTAATTCGGGGTCCTCTATAGGCTTCACTATCTAGTGTGCTTACTGCCTGTTCACAAAAGGGCTCAATTGTTCCAGGAGCTGGGCTGCTTATTTGGATAATTGCTTGTTTGGTTGATTCATTCATGTACTTAAATACTTGTTCTCTCATTTGTCTTTCCAATTCTCCTCAGCTGTGCATTGACAGTCCCCTGTTCTTTTGTTCACGTATTCATTTGTTCATCAGTGCTTCAAACCACTGATTCAATTATTTCTTCGTGCATTTTATGTCAATTCCTTAATCTATCAGTCCATTTGCTTGATCATTATTCAGTTAGTTATTTATGTCTATAGCAGGACATTTGTTTATTCACCCCTTTCATCCATTTGTTTGCCCATTCACTCCTTTATTCAATCTTGGTTCATTCACTTGCTTGTACTTTTGAAAACATGTTCATTCATTCATTAACATGCTTCAGCCCTTTCCAGGACTATTTCCCCAACTGCCACACTCTGTGAAGAATCCCTCTCTTCTTTCAGTCACTTGTTCAATGTTGTCCCATGTCACTCACCCTCCTTCCTACCTTTCGGGGCCTCCCTGGTGGCAGTTGAGCGCAGCGCTGTGAAGCTCTCTGCAGCCTCTGCAGTGCAGGTTTGATCCGGCTGGCTGGGGAGCTACCCACATTATGTGGCAGACATCCCGTGGCTTGCACACTGCTCCCCTCCTTCCTACCTTTTGGGTTGTCGGAAAAGTCATGATGTATTTTTTTCTGTTTTTCAAGCAAAAAAGCTTCAGGACTTTTCTGACAGCCCAATACATCAGGGCCCTACTGTAACCTCTAGTTCTTCCTGACAAAGGCCTTTGTTTATGCTGTTGTCCTTTTCTAAGTGCTCATTCCCATCAATCCGAGTAAAATAGACTCACTTGCAGTCTACGTGGGGATGCGGGTGGGGAGAGGACAGGGATGAGTCCTGTCTACCTGATCCTTATCTCCACAACTCAGATCTATATCCAAACGACCACACTGACTATTTCCTTGAGCCTGAGTGCATCAGTGTCCCTCGGCATGCTCTATGTACCCAAAACCTACGTCATCCTGTTCCATCCGGAGCAGAATGTACAGAAGCGGAAGCAGAGTCTTAAGACCCTCACAGTGGCAACCCCTCCTAAGGATGAGGACACGGAGGCCCCCAAGTAACAAGTGGAGGATGGCTGCTCTCTTTCCTGTCCTTCATGGTGGAGCATGAAGAGCCCAGGTCTCCAGTGAAAAGCCAGAGGCAGGGAGTCCACAAAGGCCATGACAAGCAAAACAAGGCCTGTCTGCAGAGACCTGGAGCCCATGCCACATTTCCTACCCCCCACTCCCCTGATTTTCTATATATGCTGGCTGCACAGTTCTTCCCTGCAGACTGAACTTCTACTCCTGCTGGGAAACAACCAATAAGGGGATCATACTCTGAAGAGGACTAAAATTACACTTTCTTGTTTGGGCTTGGCTTAGTCTGAGTGAGATTTCTTATCCCTTGACCTACCACTGTAATCCAGGATTTTATAGCACCAAGAATGCTGAGATTCTAGAATGACATCTAGGGTTGAGGGTAGAGAGGAACAATTTCCTCAGGAGATCTGTGGGTGTGTGTACTGCACTGAGTAACGTGGACTTGGGTGAATATCGTGCTGGCACAGAACCTTGGACAAGAGTCCTTTGAAAGAGGATGCAAAGGAACAGGTTTGAATGCAGAAACTGGGAATTATCCCCCAAGAGGTTACTCATACCAAGGTCTTTTCCTTGGAATCTATTTCCCCTGAGGTCTGGGGGAAGTCAAACCTAAAGTAGCTTAAGTACAACACACTCCCTTGTGTATTCTCTTAAATGACCCTGCGCCTTGAGGAAGTCAGATCTACTTGTATAGTGTTAGTTGTGTGAAAATAAAGCGAAATAAAAAATGATATCCAAACTTCTGTCCCAATATTTACTGGGGGTCCCCTTCAAAAGGTGAGCAAGAATTCTCTAGCATTTAGTATGTGGAACAGATTTTGAAGATCAACTAACCACATCCCATAAAACATAGAGACTCTTCTCTAAACAGATTCTTTGGTGTATTATATGTTTTACTTTGGGATAAGCTAATAGGGTTTTATCCAAGAATAACATTTTTTCATATTGAATAAGATCTAGGCTATACTTATGGGCTTTCATGTTCATTTACCTCAAATTATTTCTCTCCAGTATGAATTACATGGTCCAATGAAAGTGGGGTTCTGGATTAAAGGCTTTTCTCCATTACAATCACAATGTTTCAGTGGGAGTTTTCTAAAACAGAGTAAGATTACATTTTGATAGAAGCTTTTACTCATGTATGCATGTGTCCAGTGTATTGAGAGACTGGACCTTTTTTATATTAATGTATTCTCATATTTTAACACCAGTGTAAGTTCTTTTGTACATGTTTATTATACTTATTATGGCTTTATTAATTTCATTCTTTTGTTCTTTAAAATATTCCCCCAAATTCATTACATTTATTGTCTCACTTTATTTACTAACTTATTTTTAAATAACTATAGCTTTTCCCGTTTGACTTTTCTTCTGCTTTTTTAAATAGTTGTCAATTTGCAAGACAAGACTCCTAAAATGGAGTAAATTGCACAAAACTTAGTGAATCTTTCCATCACTTTTATAGAATGAAATCTCTTTAGAAATACTGTTATGTTGACATCTTTGTTTCTTTTTTTTTTTTAAGATTTATTTATTTATTTATTTATTTATATAAGCACTGGGTACAGTCAGAAGCACGGGAGGGTGAGAGAATTCACCAGAGCCAGAGCGGGGAGCAGAACAGGCAGAAGGACTGAAGTACACTGCTGAGGGGAGCAGCGGGCGGCAGGAGAGGTCTGCGCGCCATGCGGGACCCTCCTCCGGTGGCCGGGGAGCAACCAGGGATCGAACCGGCACTGCAGAGGCTGCGGGCAGCTTCGCAACCCAGCGCTCAACCACTGCGCCACCGGGGAGGCCCGATATCTTTGTTTCTTAATGTGAAAAGTCTCATCTCTTGGGCTGTAAGGGGGAAAATCTGCTCCAGTGTAGACAGAGAAGAGTATTGAGCATATAAGTAGGTTGCACATTTTGATGCAGGGCAGCAAGGGGCATTAAAACTGGCCAAGGACACTGCCCAAATAGTTTATCGTTCACTGTCTGAGTTCTTTATCCATGTGCGCAATTGCAAGACTATTCAGGCTCAGAGAACAACAACAATGGGATTTACTTAACAAACAAGGGAAAAACAGTTACTGAGGCCAAAAATGGCTATTTACCTCCCCCGAAGCAGTGTCCAGTGTTTCCAAGTCCTAAACAATAGCAGCTAAGATGGTGTCTTCCCACCACTGTGGACACAGAGCTCCTCTTTCCAACAATAGGCCACATACCCAAGATGTTGTCTTCCTGTCTCTGCCAACCTGGAGCAGGCAGCAGCCAGACTATAAACCAGATTTCAACTCATGAAGACAACAAAATATACAATAGGAGATGCTCCCAGAGCTACTGAGATGCCCCAGCACAGCACCAGACGAGCAATACTCAAATCAGCAGCTGCAGCAGTGGAACGACTCGACAATGGCCACACTCACAGCTCAGCAAGGCACCCGGCTCGGGGTCTTCACTTTCCCTGCGAGGCTGTTGACAGCAGGAAAACTAGGAACAGTTTCGGTTGCTTGGCTATTTGCATGGCCTCCGAACTTTTCCTCTCTGAAATTGGCTGCTGGAGGCCTCCACCTTCAGAGGCCCATAACAGCCTTCTGTAAGATCAGCATGCATGGTGGGGGCAAAATCCCTGAAGATCCAAATACGTTGAATCCCAAATGCTGAATCTGAAACGCTAAATCCCAAAGATTGAATCTTCAAATGCTGAATCTCAAATGCTAAATCCCAAGGACTAAATAATCCATGCCTTCTTCTATAGTCCCTTATATTTCTTATCAGTCACTTCACCCCCAAATGCAATACTTTTTAGCATTTTCCCTGGGACTATCTAGCCTCACCAGCAACCCCTCCAGAGGACACCACCTGTAACAGTCCATGGCTTCAGCCACCAGTTACAAAAGGAGGTGGCCAAAAATGCAGTAGGTGAGCACTGACCCACTCTGAGTCAAAGTCCTTGATTCACCATTTACTAGCCATGTGACTTCTGACAAGTTCCTGAACTTCTTCAACCTTCAAGTGGGGATAGTAGAAACAGTAGATTAAGTGAGTTAAAACACACAGAGTGCTTATAATATTATCTGGTGCAAGGTATGCCCTCAAATGTTAACTGTTATCTCTGGTAATGGGATGTAAGGAAAATGTGTTAAAATCAGGCTATTTTGCACCTTGCACACAACAGATCTTCCATACCTTGAAATGCTCTGTGTTCTACCATTCAGACAGCTGGCAAACAACAAACAGATGGGCTTTGCATTTGCAACAACGTATCAGTTTTATGGCTATGGCCATTAACGATGTAAAGGGACTGCCTGTCTCAGGGCTAGAGTCTCTTTTTAAGGATATTGATGAGAAAATAGTTATTTAGAGTAGGTGCTTAGGTATATTACAGTCTGACCAACCTGCTCGCACCCCAATCTGGGCATTTATATAAGGACCTACATTTAGGATTCCTGCCATAAGTTTCTTGCTTATATGGGGCACATTCTGAAATAACCACAGCACCCACCAGTACCTTGGGAATAATCTCAAGCCCCAGTTAGGGCCTTGAAGGGCCTCTCTCAACACCAGTGACTCTCAGCCACTTTCTGGAAAGTATCAATACCTCTGACTCTAAGCACACCCATCTCAGTGCCTCAGGAACTGTCCAGAACACAGTCCAGGCCTTGCAGAGCCCTACCCAACAGCAATCTTCCAGGAAGCAACCCCAATCCTGGCCATACACACCTGTAACTCGGGCATTGTCTCTGGCCCAGTAAAGACTGCTCAGGGCTCTACAGGACACCAGATAATCAGTTGTCCTCCAGGAAATGATTCCAGCCTTGGACACATCTACCAGTACCTTGGAAACTGGCACAGCTCACAACAATGACACAGCTATGCAGCCCCATCTGACAGCCTGACAGCCTCTGGTCAGCACACTGGCCAAGTGTGGTATATGTGGAAACACACTTAGCAGAGGCCAAACCCACAGTAGTGGGGTCCTAAAAACAACAGGGAGACAGAATTGCTTCAGTAGTCCTCAGAAGAATACTATACCATGGAAAGATAACAAATCTTCAGAATCTAATCACAAAGACATGGAAGATCTATTCCTTCTATCAGACACAGAATTTAAGTTTGCCATCATAAAGAAATTAAAAGAAGTCAGAGCATACTCAGAGGATAGGAAGATGCAGAAAAACAAATGAATGTCCTGAGAAACAAAATCAACAAACAGAAGATCTAAAATGATTTCCTAAAAAAGGAAATAAAGGAGCTGCAAGAAGAAAAAAGTTTAAAAGAAAAGATGAAAAATAAACTATATAAGCATTAATAAATCAAATGGAAGAGTGACTCAGTGAACTTGAACCATGAACTTTTTTTTTCTTTAAAGATTTATTTACTTTTATACAAGAACCGGGATACAGGCCAGGTGCGTGGGAGGGTGAGAGGATTCATTGGAGACAGAGCAGGGAACAGAACAGGCAGACTGAAGAAATACACTGCTGAGGGGAGCAGCGGGCGAGACAGGAGAGGTCTGCTTCGCCATGTGGGATTCTCTCCGGTTGGCTGGGAATGAACCCGCACTGCAGAGGCTGTGGACAGCTTCACGCTGCAGTGTTCAATCACCTGCACCACCAGGGAAGCCCCTTGAACCGTGAACTTTGTACAGTGAACAGTGAACTTGGACAGTGAACTTGACAGTGAACAGTGACATATATAAATTCACAAATTTACACAGAAGTAAGATGGAAGAGAAAGAGAAATGAAGAAACACTTCATGAACTATGTGACACCATGAGGAAAGACAATATAAGAATAATGAAAATCCAGAGGTGAAGAGAGACAAGAAAGGAGAACATCTTCCTTTCTTCCTTCCTCCCTCCTTTCTCTCCTCCCTTCCTCCCTCCCTTCCTTCCTTCCTCTCTCTCTTCTCTGTCTTTCTCCTCTCTTCTCTCCTCTTCTCTCTCCCCCCTCTTTCATCTCTCTCTCTCTCTCTTTCTCCCTTTTGCATAGAAGAACTGGGGTGTAGGCCATAGGTGTAGGGGTAAGAGGATTCACCAGAGACAGAGTGGGGAGCAGAACAGGTGGATTTACTGAAATACACTGCTAGGGGGAGCAGCAGGCAAGACAGGAGAGGTCTGCTGCCACATGTGGATTAGCTCCCTGGCTGGGGATTGGACTCAAGCTGTAGTGGTGATAGCGCTGAGACTTAACCCATAGGCCACCAGGAAGGCCCAGGAAATAAGAACATATTTAAAGAAATAGAAGAAAACTCACCAAGCCTGTAAAAGGAAATAAATACATAAATCCAGGAAGCTAAAAGAATACTGGGGTAGGGTACCTAAACAAAATGAGACACCTGGCATATAGTGGTAAAAATTCCAAAACAAAAAAAAACAAAGACTATTTAAGCTGGTGAGGGGAAATAAACAGACTACAAAGGAACCCAGATCAGGCTAATACTGGACTTCCCAGAAGAAACACTCCAGGCAAGGAGAGAATAGAAAAATGTGGTTAAAAAGTTTAAAGATAAAAATTGCAACAGACGACTATAGGCTTTAGCTATGAGGAAGAAATAAATGCCTTCTCAGACAAAGAAAAACTGAAGGAATTTGAAAAAACTAGACTCCTCTTCCCCTTCCCAAGAAATATTGAAAGGAACTCTGGTATTGAAGACAATAGAGAAACACACAAAAGAAATGAAAAAGGAAATAGATATAATCACAAAACAAAAGATAAAATTGCAGCAATAGACTTTCATATCTAAATGTTGATGGACTAAACTCACCAATTAAAAGATACAGAGTATCTTGTTGGATAAGGAAACAATCCAACCTTCTTCTGTCTCCAGGAGATACATCTGAGTGCCAAAGATAAACACAGGATCAAGGTAAAGGGTTGGAAAATAATCCTACAAGCAAATGGGACCCAAAGCAGGACAAGGACATAACAATCATTAACATAAACCACTGAATGAAAGAGTACCAAAATACACTTGGCAACTTCTAACAATTTAGATTACAAACACTGGTAAAAACATATTTGTGGTAGATTTCAACACCCTACTAGCACCAATGGACAAATCAATGAGACAAAAAAATAAATGGGGACAAAAAATTAGACCAAATGGACTGATATACTTCGATAGGACACTGCACCACCTGAAACTAGAATATACATTTTTTTTTTCAAGTGCCCATGGGACATTTTCCACAGTTGAACACATATTGGGCTAAAAGACAAAGAGCAATAAATTCATGAAGACTGAAATCATATTAAGTATTGTCTCACATCATAAAGGCATCAAACTAGAAATAAACTACAAAAAGAAAGCAGAAAAACCTCTAATACATGGAGACTGAACAGTACATCACTTAAAGACCATAGGGTCACAGAGGAAATTAGAGAGGAAATTTTAAAAGTAACTTAAGACAAATTACAATGAGGTCACAACCTTCTAGAATGTATGGGATACGGCAAAAGCAATACTAAGAGGGGCCAAATCAACAAACAAGAAAGAGCTTAAATATACAACCTTATCTCTCATCTTGAGGAACTAGAAAAAGAAAAACAAAAAAGCCAAAAGCCAGTAGAAGGAAAGACCCTCAAAAACTAGAGCACAAATAAGTAAAATAGACATCAAAAAGACAGTCCAAAAAATCAATGAAACTAAAAGCTGGTTCTTTAGAAAAAAATTGACAGACCTTTAGCTCACTAGGAAAAAATGAGAAACTTCAAATAGGATCAAAAAACAAAAGAGAAGTTACAACACATATTGACAGAATTCAGAGGATACTAAGAGATTACTATGAACATTTCTATGGAAACAAGTTCAATAATATAATGGAGGTGGACAGATTCTTAGAATTACACAATCATCCAAGTCTGAATAGAGAAGAAATGGAAACCTGAACAAACCAATCACAAGAAAGAAAACTGAAAAAGTAATCAAAACTCTCCCAAAAACAAAAGCCCAGGACAAGATGACTTTAAAAGTGACTTCTACCAAATTTTCAAAGAGGAGCTAATACCTACCCTGCTCAAATTCTTTTCAAACAATTGAGAAAGAATACTTCCAAACACATATTATGAGGCCACCATCACACTAATACTAACACCAAATAAAGCCAACATGAAAAGAAAGTTATAGACCAATCTCCCTAGTGAACATAAATGCAAAAATCCTAAAAAAAATCTTAGCAAACTGGATCCAACAATATATGAAAAGGATTATAAGATGACCAAATAGGATTTACACCAGGTACAGAAGAATGTTTCAAGATGTGAAAACTAATTAATGTAATTAACCACATCAACAAAAAGGAAAAAAAATTCATATCAATAGGTGGCAAGAATGCATTTACTAAGATTCAGCATCCATTTGTATTAAAACCCTTGAAAATTTGGGATAAATGGAATATATTAACATAATAAAAGCCACACTACAGCTAGTGTCATTCTCAATGGTGAAAAATTTAAAGCCTTGGCACTAAGATCTAGCACAAAGCAGGATATGCAATCTCACCACTGCCATTCAAAATACAGTATCAGAAGTCTTTGCTAGAGCAATGGTGTGAGAAAAATATATAAAAGGCCTTCATAGTGGGAAAGAAGCTATCATTATTTGTAGATGTGATAATACACAGACAACCCTAAAGTCTCCATAGAAAAACTAATTAAAACAAACAAACCAAAAAAGAAAAAAAACAAAGTGGCAGGATCCAGAAATCAATGCACAAAAGTCAGTTGCCTTTCTATATGCAAACAATGAGCTAGAATAAGAAATTAAGAAAGCTAGCCATTTATAATCTCAGCCAAATAAATAAATAAATAAATACCTGGGAGTAAACCTAACAAAGGAGGTGAAAGACATATATGAGGAAAACACTAAGCCATTGTTAAAAGAAACAAAAGAAGACAAGGAAATGGAAGGATATTCCCTTCTCACGGATTGGAAGATTCAACATTATCAAAATGGTCATATCCAAAGAAATTTGTAGATTCAGTGCAATTCCAAATAAAATCTCAATGGTAGTCTCCAAAGAAATGGAACAAATATTACTGAAACTCAAATGGAAACATAAAAGACCCCAAGTAGCCAAAGCTGTCCTGACTAAAAATGGGCAAAATGGTGGTATTACACTTCCAGACTTCAAGATGTACTGTAAAGCTATGATAATTTTAAAGGCGGAGTACTGGAACAAAAATAGACACACAGATACCAATGGAACAGAATTGAGAATCCAGAAATAAAACCACATATGTGTGGACAATTAATCTATGACAAAGGAGCAAAAAATATATACTGAACAACAAAAGACTCTTCAATAAGTAATGTTGGGAAAATTGGACTGACACAAGCAAAAGAATCAAACTAGACCATTATCTCCCACCATACACTGTCAACTCAAAATGGAGAAAAGACATGGATGTCATACATCCTGAACCTAAAAAATATATAAAAAGAAAACATAGGCAAAGTTCTTCATGACATAAACTTCAGAAATATCTTTGTGAATTCATTCCAAGCAGCAAGGAAAACAAAGGAGAATATAAACAGATATGGACTACATCAAAGTATGAATATGTATTGCATGTCAGTTCAATACAGCTTCACCTTTAGGTAAGTAGTGGAAAAAAAGAGTTACTGGTCACCTGAAAGGATGGGTCTGTCCACATAAGTGACCTTTATCAGATGGAAACTGAATTCGGGTTTGAGTGTTGCTGGCAGCTTCCTAGTCTATGTTCAACTGGAATCCACTGATTCCACCATGATATAGACGATCACCTTCTGTAAGTTGGAGGTGAGTTGCAGTTTTTGTAGGGTCAGTAGGTTGCCCAACTTCGATTCCAGAGACCAGGAACCTGCCACTTTGCTTCCCAGAACAACAGTTTACTTGCTCTTCCATTTCATAATATGGCATTTTTCCAACCTGCAGTAGCATAGGCCCCCGATTCTTTGGGGGGTGGGAAAAGTGACAGTACCACGAGTGGCTGCATGTGTGAAGGTACACAAGTTACTCTGTAAAGTCACTTAAGGATTAAAGATGGTAAAGGAACTGGACCTGTAGGTATCACTCAAACTTTTGGGCATAGCACTCACTGCCCCGCCAGAGAATGTCTTGGCACTGTTGAACTCTTCTTGGCGTGTGAAAGGCATGACATGTTGCTTCCACTGTCAGAATGGGATAGTTTTGAAGTGGTAGAATACCCTTATGGAGGAGAAATGGGCACTTTCAAATGCAAAAGTAGCAATTCAAAGCTCTCTGCTTTTCCTGTAATCAGTTAATACCTTAAAAACTGGACAAAAGGACAAGAGCAAGGATAGGATGTGGTGGGTCAGTATTCTGGGGGTGAAATAATTTAAGTAATGGGTTGAAGATGGGAACTATACTTTCTTTATACTGGGCTGTCAGGAGAATGGATGATGAGAAAACCAAGGGTTAAATGAAGGCAGAAATCCTAATATGAGAATCAAGTAGAGTGAAATGCTCATAGACTATCTATTTTCTTACTTTTTGTTCTTTTGCGTCTCAATCTTTTGACAATTTTTTTCTCTTTACAGTCAAAATGCAAATTCGATAAACCAATTTGTGTTGTAAATGAAGCTTCCTTTTGGTTCTGATACTTGTTATTTCAGACTAAACAGGATCGCAACCAGTTGAGGCAGTACTGAACTACAAGGAGCATTTTGTCATTTTTAAATTCTCAAAACCCACAATACTCTGAAGCTTGACTCAGTAAATAAAATGACTACTTTGATGTCTATTTCCACAGTTATTCTCTAGAATAGAATCTCTTACATTGATTCATCAATATGCTCGGTCTCAAAACTCTTCCATATAAATGGCAATCATTACTTCTCTCCAATATGATGTCTTTGATGCTGAATGAGGTTTGCAGTCTGGTTGAAAGCTTTCCCACATTTATTACATTTATAGGGTTTCTCTCCTGTGTGAATCCTCTGATGTTGAGTAAGGTGTGTGCTTCGGATAAAGGCTTTTCCACAGATTTTACATTTGTAAGGTTTTTCTCTAGTATGAATTCTCTTATGTTGAGTAAGGGCAGAATGGTCACTGAAAGCTTTCTCACATATATTACATGTATAGGGTTTTTCTCCAGTATGGATTCTCTGATGCTGGGCTAGGGCTGATTGGTCCCTGAAGGCTTTCTCACACAAGCCACATCTGTAAGGTTTCTCTCCAGTGTGAATTTTCCGATGCCGAGCAAAGGATGAATTATCCCTGAAAGCTTTCCCACATTCATTACACTTATAAGGTTTCTCTCCAGTATGAATTCTCTGGTGCTCAGTAAGGGAAGAGTTTACCCTGAAGGCCTTTCCACATTCATTACATTCAAAGGGCTTCTCTCCAGTGTGAATTCTCTGATGCTGAAGAAAACTTGTACTCTGATTAAAGGCTTTTCCACATTCATTACATTTATAGGGTTTCTCTCCACTATGAATATTCTGATGTTTGGTGAGATGTGCCCTACACACAAAGGCTTTGTCACATATGTTACATTTAAAAGGTTTCTCTCCAGTATGTATCCTATGATGGTGAGCAAGGTGTATGTTTCGGATAAAAGCTTTTCCACATAAGTTGCATTCAAAAGGTTTCTCTCCAGTATGAATTTTCTGATGATAAGTAAGTGAGGAGCTTACTGAAAAGGCCTTGCCACATTCCTTACATTCATATGGCTTCTCACCAGTATGAATTCTTTGGTGATGGATAAGGTGCGTACTCTGGTGAAAGGCTTTCCCACATTCTCTACATTCATATCGTTTCTCTTTAAAATGAGCTTTCTGATTTGTGTTAAGTTTTTCAGTATGAATTTTCTGATGTTTATTAAGGGTTGAGTTCTTAGAGAAAATCTTCCCATATGTACTATACTCAAAGGCCTTTTGGCTAGGTTGAAATCCCTGACTTTGAATAAAAGGTGAGCTCATGATGCAGCTCTTATTAGACTGATCACATTTCTGCTCGCTAAGCACAAGGGTGGTTTTCTGATGAGTGAGTACTTGCTGTAACTTTGTCTCCTGGCTTCCGTGCCGCCATTCCAATAGGCTGTCATACTTCCAATGCCTATTATTACCAGTGAATCTTTCCTTCACTGTCCACTGATCCAATTCTTCTTCAGGAATATCTTCCTTGAGAGTAGATTTCTTACTCACAGGTACAGCCATCCAGTCTGAAAGACATCAAAAATAAAAATGAGAATGAGAAATTGAGGCTGCTTAATGTTAAAAAAAGAGATTGCATAGTGAAGATTTTCTTAAAATGAAGGTAACTAAGGAAAAGAGAGGAGAGGTGACCCGAAGATATAGCCAGAAGGAACTGACTGAATAAATAATACTTGAGCAGGAAAACTTGGGTTTCAGGAGTCACAGGTCTGGATTAGAATCCTAAGTACACCTTTTTTTTTTTTTTTTTTTTTGGGTTTTTTTTTGATTATAGAACAGTTACCTGACTTACTAAGTCTCAAAAAAACAAACAAAAAGCTGATACACATCACACTGCTAATAGACAAGATAAAAATGTACCTTATCTATTATAGTCATACGATTTCTAAAATAGCCCAGAAGCAGCCAGAGTAACTACTAAAACTAGAACTTTTGTTTTAGAGACTAATTTTAGTATTTAGATGACTAATAAAAAGTTAGGGTATGTGTGTGTGTGTGTGAGAGAGAGAGAGAGAAAGAGAGAGAGAAACACACATATCCAATAATAAAATTTTGTGCTGCTTGTGAGGAAGCAAAGTTCAAATATATATGAATAATGTGATATGAGAAAAATGTGGTATGTGTAAAATGTACCATCGAGATGTATATATAAGCACAGAAAATCCAGGTCAAAGTAACAAATATGTCAGAATTTGCTACTTTGTTGCATATAGGAGGGAGAACCCCAAATCTGTGCAAAGAACAATGGCCACTAGAAGTGGGGCTTTCCCATTGCAAGGACTCATGGTCCCATGAATTATGTGATAAGATGATTACTCTCTCCAAACATGAATTCCACTCCTACTCAACAACTGTCTTGCTTGGCTTGATGGCAACCTTGCTATTAACGAGTAGAGCTTTAGATTAAACATTCTTCATTTTTATTATTTTAATTTTTTAAATTTTTTCCTAGATTACATTAGTTTTCCATATTTATTTATTTATTTATTTATTTTTTTTTTTAAATAGAGGCATGTTTTATTTATTTATTTATTTGTTTGTTTGTTTTTTTGTTTATACATGCACTGGGTACAGTCAGAAGCACGGGAGGGTGAGAGAATTCACCAGAGCCAGAGCGGGGAGCAGAGCAGGCAGAAGGACTGAAGTACACTGCTGAGGGGAGCAGCGGGCGGCAGGAGAGGTCTGCGCGCCATGTGGGACCCTCCTCATGTGGCCGGGGAGCAGCCGGGGATTGAACCAGCGCCGCAGAGGCCGCGGGCAGCTTCGCAACCCGGCGCTCAACCGCTGCGCCACCGGGGAGGCCCAGTTTTCCATATTTATTTATTTGAAGATTTATTTTTATTTATACAAAAGCCTGGGTACAGTCCAGATGCATGGGAGGGTGACAGGATCTACCAGAGACAGAGCAGGGAACAGAACAGGCAGACTGACGAAATACACTGCTGAGGGGAGCAGCGGGAGAGACAGGAGAGGTCTGCCACACCATGTAGGTTGCTCTGAGGCCCGTGGGGATGGAACTGGTACTGCAAAGGCTGTGGACAACCTGACAGTGCTGCGCTCAACAGCCTGCGCCACCAGGGAGGCCCTCCATATATATTTATGAATACCTGCCTTTTAAGTTAAATCCATTTAAGTCTTTCTGCTAATAAATGCCATGATAATAAGGACTAGGTGCAAACACAATTCCTGAAAAATTCTGTCAAGAACAAGATTCTTCATCATTTTTCATTTCCTCCCACTTACTCCAGAAAATACTCTACAGAGAGCTACAATAGAACAAACAAAACAAACAAAACAAACAGAAAACAAATTTTCTTATCTAGAAGAGATAGTTAAAAAGCTACATTTTAAGGCTACAATGGGGAGCTGGTAAGCTGGTGAACTCAGAATAACCTTGCTCAAAAGAAAAAAAAGATCAATGTTAAACATCAGTATTGCCAAAACAAGGGCATTATTAAAAAAACTGTAAGGACTGACTTTAACTTCCAGAGTCAATAGTGTACCTTGTGGCAAAGCGAAATTCCTGCAGGAAAAAACTGGAAAATCTGAAATGAAAATAATTTCTGCCTAATGATATCATTTGTTACCTGAGGTCAACTTGACAACATAATATTTGGGGAAGAAGGGAAATACAGAGGTGATCCCAACACTTAGTGGTTTTTTCCTCAGAGAATTTGAATTCTTAAGCTTCCCAGAACAAAAGTCTAAAGCAAATGAGAAATTCAGAATTTCTGTAGTCTTACAGTACTGTGGAGTCGAAAACTGGATCTCAGGACATTTCATGGAAGGGCTGGGGTGGGTCATAGTAAACATGTGCAAGCTCTCAGGATTTCTGGAAGCTCTTACCTATAACCTAGTAGGGCACATAAAAATTTTATAAACACTACAACCCAATATCCAGTTAATACAGTTCCCAGTATTTCATTTAACTGAAGGGTCAGTTCTCCAAGAACAGATAATAAAAGCAAAGTTTCAAAATGGATAAAGAAAAATTGAAAGGAAAAACAGACAAATTTTAATAATCATGGAGATGTAACATACCACTCATAATAACTGAGAAATCAAACCATTAAAAATGGGGAAAGGGGAAGATCTCAACAACCCAACAAACTTGACATAACCTATTTATTTAGTGCACTAAACCAACCAATGGCAGAATATACATTTTACTTAACGTGTATACAAAATTCACCAAATAATGTTTTACACACACACACACACACACACACACAGCATTTAAGGAAGTATAAACATATTTCACAGGCCAAACTAATTCTGAATCTGTTCTCTGAACTTAGTGTTAAGCCAGAAGTGAATACCAAAATGCCAAAGAAATGATTTAAAAACCCAGTGATGTTTCTAAACTGCCAGATCACAGATGAAATCACCACAAAAATTAGAAAATGTTCTTAATAACAAATATTGGGCTGTCAGAAAAGTTGTGATGCATTTTTGCTTGAAAAACATAGATAAACCACATCATGACTTTTCCAACAATCCAATACATGAAACTGAACTTATAGACTGCCACTATAATCACATTTACAAGGAAAAATACATTTTGTATCATTAATTATAAATTCTAAGAAATTAGAATACAGCAAGTTAAATACAAAACAGAAATTAAAAAGATAACATGAATTAATTTGTCTTTACCAAGACAAACTCAAGAAAGAGAGAAGGTGCATATTACCAATATCAAGAATGATAAAGGTGACATTAGGACAGAATCTAAAGAGTTTCATAAGATAACAGAATGAGGAATTTTTATGCCAATAAATATGACAATCTAGATAAAAGACTCAATTTCCTAGAGCAGTACAAGGTACCAAAACAGGCTCAAGAAGAAACAGAAAATGTGAATGGCCCTATATCTAATACATTCGTTGAGTTTTTAACTTTTTAGCTTTGCTAGTGAGTTCTTCTGAACATTTAAGGAAGAAATGACACCAATCTCTCACAACCTCTTCTGGAGAACTGGAAAGAAGGCATATTTTCAACTGCTGTATGAAGTTAGCACAACCTACTAAAATATGATTAGCGCATTTTAAAAATACAAAATTGCAGACCGTTCTCTCTCATGAACACAGATATAAAACTCCTAAACAGACTATTAGGAAAAGGAATATAGTGGCATAAAAAAGGATACTATATCATAAATAAGTTGGAATTAAAAGCAGTTATATTTCAGTTGATCAGTGTCATTCACCATGTTCACACTAACAAAGGAGAAAAATCACATCATAATTTCAGATGCCAAGAAGTCATCTGACACAATTTAAAACTTAGTCATGATAAAAACCCAGCAAGGAGTAGGATAGAAATTTCTTAATCTGATAGAGTACCTATAAAAAAATTTATATCAAACATCACATTTTATTTATAAAATATTGAAAATTCCATCCCCTGAGACTGGGATTAAATAAGCACTGTGCTATCATTATTTCTATTTAACACTGTAATAGAAATATTAACCAGCACAAGGTAAAGAAAGAAAAAAAGTCATTATTCTAAGATAACATGATTGTGTTCTTGGTAGTAGTGGGTTCCTGGGCCCAATTCCAACAGGTATGTGGAGGCTTCCAACACCAACAAGCAATTTTTGGATTCCATTAGGGTGTCAAAGAAGTCAACTCAATTCTGACACTATCGACCCCCAAAACTGATTAACGACTCAATATGACAAGACCACCCTCCAGGTTTCTGACCAACCAGCTACAGACTGGAAGTCCCATGATGCCTCCGGTTAGATTAATTTACTAGCATGGTATACATAACTCAGGAAATCCATTTTCTGACTAGATCACTGATATATTACAAAGGCTATAATTCAGGAGCAGGCAGATGGAAGAGACACATAGGGTAAGGTGTGGGGAAAAGTGGGGAGATTCATGTCCTCTCTGGGCTTGGCACTCTCTCCCAAAATCACATTCGCCAACCCCAAAGTCCTCTGAAGATCGTTCCTCTTGGGCATTTTGGGAGGCTTCATTATGTAGGTATAACTGATTAAGTTACTGGCCATTGGCAAATGAATTCCAACTTCAGACCCTTTCCCCTCCCAAGAAATAAGAGTGTTGTCTTCTATTCAAATTGGTTTCCCTGGCACCCATCCCACCTTACTTTCATCAATATAACAATATAATATTAATATAACAAGAGACACATTTAACACTGACAACATTTAGGAAATTGCAAAGGGAGCTGTGAGATAGAAACTGTGAATGCAGACCACATATGCATGAGAAATATATTTTAGTCATGATATATATATTTCTTGTAAATCACAGTAACACTCATTTGAATAAAAGTGCAAAATACCCTAGGGACAATTTATCAGAATAAGGTAATTTAGAAAGTTGTTGGATATAGATCAATATATAAAAACTATATACCAGCAACAGGTAATTGGAAAATGAAACCTTGAAAACATTTATATTTGCATCAAAAACAATAGAAATATAGTACAATGAAAGATCTGCAAGAACTGTAAACAAAACTACAAAAATCT